GAAGAAGGGTTCCCCCTGGCCCACTAGGGGCCCTCCCCTGGTGACTTCAGTAAGCAGATGCATCAGCTCATGCATCAAACTTTGCTTTGATTCTTAGCCACAGAGAAACAGCAGCCCCGTGATTATGAAAACCCGGGGCCCCGGTGCATCTGGTTTTCAACCACTGAGCTGAAAGCAGAGACAAGCCCGCCATGCTCACATCTCTCTGCGCTCCATCCAACAGCCAGAAGAGCGGAGTGAGCTCGGGTTTCACGGCGGGGCACTGAGGGCCTCCAGGTAAATTCCAACTGGTCCATTTGATGTGAAATCTTCCAGCTTGACCAAGAGTCACTGACCTCAAGAGCAGCCGTTTAACCTCCATTATTTAGTTTATATTGGTAATATTTACATTGGGAACTTGATTAAAGCTGACCTCTTGGTGAAAACAGAATCCAATACAGCGCTGAACCCTCCTGGCTCCTCCGCCCAGTGTCAGGTGTCATCTGTTTCACTTCTCCCCTAATTGGCAGACTGGCCTCCACTTTGCCTGCATCCACCTCTCCCTGAGTTTGTGTAACGCCTTCCACGTGGATCTGCCCCTTCAGCCCCCACCAGCACGTCTGAAAGTTTACCAGGCTAGGAGCTGCTGCTTGGTTGAGTTTGAGCACAGAGCTGGTCTGTTATAAATAGGTTTTATTCATCTCAAGGTCCAGAAAAGGCACTGAATGTCCCCTGTCCCTTCTGCACAAAGGAAAATTCCACATGGCGTCTCACCTCAGCTCCCATCTTCACAAGGACAACTGAGCCCCCAGGGGAAAGAATGCGGCAGTTACCGGTTCAGGATAAAACTCCCCTTCCTACATGAAAATTTTATCTGTATTGCTTTTTCAGATCAATATGTCTATAAAATTGCAGGGGAGGCTACTTGATAAAAAAATTTTTTTTGCTGACATATCCAGGAATTCCTCCTTCCTTCCACTGGCTCAGTTCAGCAGGTATTACCCTCCTTCAAGGCCTCACAAGGATGTTGTGACCCCCTCGGTAGACTAGCCCAAACACAAGTTCTCCAGCAGATCCCCCTCGGCACGTCAGCAGGGACCCCCGCCCACTCCACCTCCGTGGTGTTCACCAGCCCTGCTGTGCTGTCGCTTAGGAAGCCAGACTGTGAGTGTGGAACCAAGATGGCGCACCTCTGGGGGTGGGTGTCAGGCACTGGGAGGCCACTCCAACAAACCACAGAAAAGGATATCCAATTATTGGGAATGGTGTGATAAATTAAAAACTATTTTCAAAGTAATTGTTCTTTGTTCTTTTTGGTATGTTTCTAGCCAAAGAATCTGTACCCCCTTTCTGAACAATCGGAGGATTTCTTTCTCTCAAATGCCAACCTTTTCTGTGTGTGAAGGTTATTATGGGCTTGGTTAAACAAAGTGTTTGTTTATAAAAGATATGATAGATGACAGAGTCGTTTTGAAATTACACAGTCAGTGTAATAAAACCAGTTAAAACCTTATTTAAAAAATGTCACAGTTGGTCAAATGTATTAATGGCATATGGTTGAGTTTTTCTCTTTTTTCCCCCCAGAACAATATGCGCATTCTCATTTCACAGAGAAGAGGATTAATGGAGCGAGATAAACCTTCCCCTGGTTTTTCTTCTAGGCAATCTACACTTTCATTAACTGACTTGAACTTTATTTTCTATGTTTCGTCTTCCCTATCTTGTCTTTCTCTTCCCCATAGCACTCAATTACAGAATTCCTAAAATTCTGGGTAATGTAAGAGATAAATATTATATCATGTAGACCATGTTTTAGAAGGAAAAGTTAATGCAGAAATTGCACACTCCATAAACAGAATGCCCACACCAGCAGACATAATTATCTTTTCTCTTGTATATTTTCTTGATATTACCAACACTAATAATAAAGTCAAAAATGTGCCCCCAAACATAATATATATCCGCTGCATATAACCGGCATATCAGCAAAGAACACAATTGCATTAGTTTTCTCTTCTGAAATCTCTCATTCAAAGCTATACCTTGCACAAGATTTCTGTTAGAGAACTATTTGGTTGCTTCTAGAGATAATGCACCAACAGAAGTCTTGAAACCAGGACTCGCCAGCCTCACCAAGCTGGCTTATCTCAGAACTGTGCCTGGATTTTGCCTGGAGCTTGGAGATGCCATCTCTAATCTACAACCCTGCCATGAATTTGTTTTTTGTCATAAATGAAGCATGGGGCTGTGCTTTAATTTTCCTCACTGCCCTCTGTCAAGTAATAACCATAAATATTGTCCTGAATCATTAAGTCACAACCTGAAATGTGATCCTGCCCAGCTCCCAATCAGACGGCCATCTGGAAGATGAAAGAAGTCTATTTGGGTTTCGGAATGATCCAGACTCTAATTTGTAGTAACAGTCTTAACAGGCTGTTTCAGAGACATTAACCAGCAACTTGTCTCAGGTTCTCAAGGAAGGTCCATTATCCACAGTTGGAGGTATTTGCTTCAAGCAGAACCGTGAACTGTAACTGTTGGAAAACTACCAGGCTCTCTGGCTCTCAGTCAAATGCCACATTCTTCCATGGACACTAGATTTCTACCCAAGGGCAAGAAAATATGCATAGAGCAAATGCATACATAATATATCTCCAAATATTCTCTTTGTCACAAGGAAAGCAAACATTTCAAGGGAGGAAAACAAATTGCAGCTTCTACAAGCAAACAACAATGCAACATGATAGATAGATAATTTTCGTTATCACCCTGAGGTTACTTTTGCAGAGAAAAATAAATCATACTCTTATTTTGCTGTAGAAATAATCTTGTAAACACAAAGAGAAAGTCATTATCTAAAGTCTGGAAACATATGCTGAAACACGAGCGCCCCGCTGATCAAAGGGACTATTGGCCAAGCAATTGCTTTACATATCTGACCTTCCTGATCGTCAGAGAAGCAAGCAAGATCAACAGGAGATGACTTCCCATTGCCACTCGACTTTGGAATGGAAGACCAAGCAGCAAAAACAACAGGGGAAGATGCTTCTCCTCTGAGTTACATAAAACATTTTTCTCTCTAAGAGAAGACTATTATTACAAATAGTATTTATTTATTTGTAAATAAATTTATAAATTTTGAACATTAAAAATACACTTAAAAATAAAATGAAGGTATTTATTGATAGAAGCATGAAGTAAGTGATATTTTAGTCAACAGACATGTCAATGGTGACTCTGAGGGAACGAAACCAATGCCAATGGCTGCTGGCTGCGAATTTGTTTACTGCTTTCAGGGAAGGCAATTTCACACTGACTTTAAGAAACCCTCTTCCTTTCCTTTAAAATTTGGTTCAGCACCTCTCACTGCCAGTAATTAAAAACATGTATTAATTTTTCTGCAAGATAAATAGCATAAAAGGATAGGTGAAAAGAAATTTAAGTGCATTTCATGGCCTTATTAAATCTGAATGTGAGCAAAACAATTTTTTTAAAAAAATGTCTACCTGATTTGAGACAATCATGGGAATCTGAGCGCTGGCTGAGTATAAGATAATATTAAGGAATAATTATTATCTTGTTAGATGTAGTGGTATTGTGATAATTTTTAAGTCCTTCTGTTTTAGAGTTATATACTTAGGTATTCAAATCTCAGGCAAACTGTCATTTTACTCACAATGGCATGTTGCCTGAAATTTGCTTTCAAATACTCCAGAAAAATAGTAGGTAGTGGTAGATGAAATACGATTCACAAAATATTAATACGTATTGAAAAGGAATGATGAATACATATGGTTCGTTGCCCTTCTTTCATTCTATTTGTATGTATACTTGTAATTTTGTATAATAAAATAGTCTTAAATGTTTGGTTTTTTTAAAGATTTTATTTTCTTTATTTTTTAGAGAGGGGAAGGAGGGAGGGAGAGAGAGAGAGAGAGAGAGAAACATCAATGTGCAGTTGCTGGGGGTCACAGCCTGCAACCCAGGCATGTACCCTGACTGGGAATCGAACCTGCGACACTTTGGTTCGCAGCCTGAGCTCAATCCACTGAGCTACACCAGCCAGGGCTTTAAATGTTTTCATTAAGAGCTAGAGCAGTGGTTCTAAACCAGGGGTCTGCACTCCACTTCCCCTGAATTAATTTGGTAAAGTCTGGAGACATCTGTGGTTGTCACAGTTGGGGACAGCGCAGTGCCAGCATCTAATGGATGGCAGGGGTGCTGCTAAACCCCCTGCTGTGAATAACGCAGCCCCCACAACAATGAGTTACCAGTGGAGACTGGGAAACCCCAGGTTAGATAACGTCCTGTTAGAATACAGTTGACAAGTGGATAAAATATGGTCTCTGCCTTCATGGAGTTTATAGTCTTCCAAATGGAGCAGGATAAGAAGACAAATAGCCATCCTACCAGGCAGCCTCCCTGTCTCCAGGCACTTCTCATAGTGGGTGCTCTTCAGGGTGAATGGAAGGAGGGTGAACCCCTTCCAGTGGTGGTGGTGGCGGGGGTGGGTGTTGGTTGTTCAAAAAAGGTGCTTTTCATTACTACTTATTTGCAACCCTAAGCTCCAAAGAGGCTAAGAAGGACCCTCAATGAGAAGGCATTTTAACCAGGCAGGTAATAGATAAAGATCGGGATCAGAAGGGCGTGGTATGCAGATAAAGAGCATAAAGAGGTCAGAAGGCCAAGGTGTGGAGGTGGGAAAGCACACATTTACTGGGAACTGTAAATGGGAGAAATCCATGTTGTGCTGAAAGTGTGGTTTGGGGTCTCAGGGAAGTCTTTAATGCTGAGCTGAGGGGTTGGAACCTGTACTTTCTGTGTGGAGAAGTGACCCTTTGTCCTCTGTCTCCCAAACCACCGGGAACCATGGTTACGCAACTTCCCCTTCACCCCTGCTCACATGGACACGTCACAGTCAGGCCAGGGGAAGGGCCTGCACATGCTCCACCCTCCCCACTCACCCCACCCATCCCCCAGGGTCTCCGTGCTCAGGAGAGACCAGAAGAAGCTGGGTCATTTCCACCAGGGCTCCTTAACTCTAAACCAGTTGGAACTGAGCTGCCCCTATCCCTCTCCTCCTCCTAGAAAAGCGTGCCTAAGGGCCCAGTTATTCTAGAGGCCATCCCACCCTGGACACGTGGCTGCTGGAAGAGGTATGAATGTGTGAGTGCATGAGTGGGGGGCGGGGACTCCTATCCATGGAGGGCTGTGATGTGCCTGCCCCTGCGGTAGGCACCTGACATGCAGCATCACCTTTAATCCACCCAACAACCCTGAGAGGTAGGTGCATTTAGCCTCATCATACAGATAAAGACATGATGAGAAACATGACATTAATTAAGGTCTCGCAGCTCTTTAGCAGCACATGTGGGATTCAGAGCCAGAACTACATGATGCTAAAGCCACAGAATGAGCCTCACCCTTTCTAACCAACCTGCGCATGGCAGTAACTCCAACAGTGACCTTGAGGGGAGATGCTGCCAACTGGGAGCTCATGGCTGCCTTGGTGATGGAGCGGGCAGCCCTGGTGCAGACCCAAGTGAGCTGAGACTGAGGTGACGTGGGCCAGCACTGTCCTATGTTGGGTTGCCAGAGCAAGGGTGGCAGCTGACTCCCATAATAACTCAAAGAGGTGCAGGGCACATCCCTGGCTGGTGGAGGGGCCTCGTCAGCTGGCAATGCTCTGGTCTTTGAGCTTTGAGAGTCTTATGGTTCTTGAGCGTTTGGCCCAGGAGAGTCATCAGGAGGTGAAGGAGGAGGAGGAAAGCTGCCAACTCCATGTCAGAGTTACCAAGTGCAGCCCTGGCTAAGGAGCAGTTTGGGTGGTCCAGAATTGGTGCCTTCCCAAAATGAAATGGAGAGGCCTGTGTTCCCAGCTGACTCCCACTGCTGCCCTAATCGGGCACCCCAGGTCTCTGCCTGGGCTTAGAGAGCTCATTAGTGAGCAAAGAAAGGAACTATCCCATCTGGGCAGATTGGACAGGAAGAGCAGGTGGGTAGGATGAGAAAAGCTAGAAGCCACCCCCTCTGAGGGAGTCCACAGGGCCAGCTCTAGACAAGGATCCTGAAGTGGGGTACAAGAGCTGAGGGTGCTGCTCCACCACTGTACCTTTGGCAACTCACGAATACCTTGCAGACAGATTTTAGTGCCTACAATTTAGAACCACCTAGACCTGGGTTCAGATCCTGGCTGTGACACTAACTAACTGTATGCCTTTGAATAAATTACTTGACCTCTCTGAACTTCATCCTCCTTATCACCAAAATGGCAGAAAATGTAGTTTCCTCCAAGGTCACTGTAAGTATTAAACAGCAAATATTCCTAGATGACTTGGTTCAGTGCCCTGTACATTGTAATCATTCAGCAGATGGTAGGTTGTATTACGGTGTCTTCCTCAGATGAATAATGCTTCAGGCTCCTCTCTATCTCAGCACAAGGCTGTTCTAATGACCCAGTGAGATCATCTACACACGTGGAAGTATGACTTCAGCTCCAAAGCACCACAGAGACAATGGCCAGTCTTCTAGGCAGGGACATGCCGCCTCTGCCCCCTCATCTTCTTCCCTGGGCTCAAGGAAATGCCCATTGGAACATCTACTAGGATGGGGCCACCAATGGGGGTAACCAAAACCAACTGTCACACAGGGACAGTTATTGGGGTGATAATTCTAATTCCAGAGCAATTACAGACCATGGGCAGCTGGCTTTCTGCACATACCTGACAACAGAGAAGAACCCACACTCATGTAAGGGGTTGGTGATCTGACCCTCGGACCCCTTGGAGTAGGGCAACAGCTTCATCGTCCTTTTATTTCTCATCTATTGGCCTTCCCTCCACCCCAACCCAGTTTTTCTTGTCTAAAACAGGGCTTTTCTTGACACATATTTGTTGGATAAATGATTTAACTTTTTTTTTGCCAGCAAATTGCTCTGGCATCCTGGAGAGCCAGGCTCAGAGCTATGTGTATGACCCTCCATGACCCCAGCTCTGGGAGGCTCTGGGGACCGCGGTGAGCAAGCAGCCCACAATGTCCAGCTATTTGTCTCATCAGACCTTCCAGCCTAGAAACTACAGTGAGCATCTCTGGAGAGAAGAGACCTCATGGGCTGTTTGCTGTTCCCTGCTTCTTGTGGGGCCAGCCCAGCAGGCTCACAGATGGCCCTTCTGAGTTTTACTCAAAGACAATGGACCCTCACAGAACAGAGCCGGGTGCAGAAATCTGGAAAGAACGATTGGGATGATCTGAAAATGTCTTCTTTTCAGCCTGCTGAAAGTTTGGCTTAGGTTTGGGTCAAAGGTCAGGTCAATGTTGAAATTCTCCCTCCTGGGTCACCCCCTGCAGAGAAGGGGGCCCTCTGGGTCTGCTTTGAGACAGCCATTGCCAGTATCCTGTCATCACTCCATCCTGTCCCTTAGGAGGCTGTGCTATGAATGTTTTGCTTCTCCTGATGTTAGCTGAGCCCTATGGTCACTGGCCCGTTATGGCCTACTGCCCGCCACATCTGTCTTTCTGTCCAGTTCGCCCAAGACAGTGTACCCATGTGTTCACCTTCCCATGTCCTGGCTCGTCTCTGTACTCACAACAGACTCAGCTGCTCCTTGGTTCTGAGAACTATGCCCAGCAGGGCTTGTCTGAGCTTCCCCTCCCTGTCCCCAGTAGAGGCGATAATGGAGAAAGTGCTGCACCTGTCTTGAGGACAGAACTGCCTGGTGATGCTGTTACCTGGAGCAGCCCTGCCCCCATCTGAACTAAAGACTTCTCTGGCAACAGGAGCTCCCCATGAACGTGATTCAACTCTCCAAGGTCAGTGGGAGCCACAGGAGCCTGGAATGAGGGGAGGGCAGCTGGGAAGGGATTCAAGAGCTATGCTGCTGAACTCTAACATGCCTGTGAGGGAGGGGTCTTTTGTCCATCTGCTGTACATTGTGATGTATTCTAAAGACCCGACTGCCACCTCCCTTCTGACTTATTCATGACTACTGGATATTCTTCCAAACCCAATAGCACAGTGGCCTCAGCCACTACCAGGCCTCAAGCATAGTGTAAGAGCTGGACTCTGGAGCCAGAGTGTGTGGGTTTGAACCCTGGCTCTGCTGTTTATTAGCTGTGTGGCCTCAGGTGAATTACTCAGCCTCTCTGCTTCCATTGCCTCAACCATAGAATAGGCTTGATAACAGGACCTCCCCTATTGGGTTGTTATAAGAATCAAATGAGTTAATATCTGGAAAGTGCTTATTTCAGCACCTACCATGCAGTGAGTATTTGTAAAATATAGTGAGTATTCAGGGATCCGACGTCTGTTTTTCCATAGGACAGTGGAGTAATTATTGGGCAGATGTTGTGAGCTCTCTGGATGGTGGGGTTGAAATTCACCTATAATATAATGGCAAGAAAAATCCCTTGGCATTCTCCATGCTAGAGAGATACAGCTGCAGGCCTTGGTTTCATCTGTTGTAAAATGGAAAACAAATAGAATCCTCCACATAGGATTTTTTAATTAAATTAAATAATCCAAGTGATGTTAGTAGCAGAGTCCCTGAAAAAATATTAAATAGATGTTCAGCTATCCTTATTAATATTACTATTGTTGTAGCTGAGAAAAAAAGGTAAGAATTGTTCTCAGATACCTGCCCTCCAGGGGACACTGGCAATGACTGGAGTCATTTTTGGTTGTTCTCGCTGGGGTTGCAACTGGTACCTAGGAGGGAGAGGCCAGGTGCTGCTAAATTGGCCCCACCATGTACAGTTCAGTTCCCTACAACAAAGGATTACACAGCCGCAAAGTGTTCTTAGTGCCAAGGTTGACCGTTGTAAGTCCCGTTATTGCCACAGGGCCCCATATCCCAGACCACTGTGTAAGCACTCTTAGAGCAGAAATACCTCTGAGCAGACTTTCCACTAGATTCACAGAGAAAAGAAGGACAGTGACTAGATTCACTGGGTTAACTTGAGGCTTTACAAATGCCAGCATCAGGGGATCCCATGGAAGCGGTGCTGACACCACACTGCGCTCCTGGAACGGCTGCTTTGTTGGGTTCTCCCTGAAGATAGCTGTAGGCTTCCCAGCTGTGGACTCTGGCTCAAAGGGCTTCTGCAGGCCAGACGCTCTCCCTTCCATAGCCTCCACAGCTGTGAATGGCCACATCGCCCCCCATGCGGTCACCCGGGCCAGAACCCTGGAAACTGGCCTCACTGGTTTGCTTTCTCTTGTCCCCCATATTCAGTCTGCCCTGCCAATTCACTGTTCAAGGGGTCACTCGTACCACCCACATCTCCCCATTCCCACTGCCATTGTCTTAGACTGGGCTTCCATGATCTCCCGGCCAAGCTACCCTAAGGGCTCCTAACAGTCTCTCTGCCTCCAGCCCCTTTCCACTCCAATCTCCCACCACCTTGCACCAAAAAACTTCTTCCCAAAACACAAATCACGTCACTCGCCTCCTTAAAATGCTTACAGCCTGAAGCACAGAGCATGAAATGCAAAGCCCTACACAATCTACCCTTGACCTGCTTCTCCAAATGCACCCAGCACTCCCCACACCTCAATTTCTTGCACTTCCCTAAACATGTTGTACTCAGTCAAGCCTCTGAGCTCCTCACACGCTGTTCCTGTGCCTAGACACTATGTCTAGCATCCTCTGTGGCCTGACTCAAGCTTCCCTTGAAGACAGTTCAAGCATCGCTTCCTCTAGAAAAGACTCCCTGGACCTCTCCCCAGGAAGCTGTGTTTGGAGCTTTCTTCTCCACTTCCACAGCACCTTGTGCACTTTTTTTTTATCCAGCTTTATAATCTTGGGTGTTTTCATCTGATTCTTCCACTAAACCATCAGCTCCTTGAGGTCAGGCACTATAATCATTTTTGTTTACCAGCACCTAGTACACTGTCTTGCACATAGTAGATGATTTTTCAGTTTGGGATGTTAATGGCATCCTTGATGGGATGAATAACTATTGGGAGTGTGACCAGTATATAGTTGATGAATTAACTGAAAGAATGAGTTAATACGGATGTCATGCACTCTACTAAATGTCTACTCTCCACTTCTTTGGTTTATTTATCAAGTACCTACTATGTGCCAATCACTCTACAAATCTAAGAATTTAGAGAGGAATAAGTCTTAGTTGCTTCCTTGTGAATCTTGTAGCCTGGCCAAGAACACAGATCCATGAATTAATCCCTCCTCCCCTCACCCCTTCAATAAATGTCACCACCATGAGTACAAACAAATCTGTTTTCCATTATTAAAAAATGTTAAGGGTTTTTTTCCACATTCATCTCTTTCACTTACCTACCTCATTCAACCCAGCAGAAGGTGCCATTGAATGAACCTCTAAATCATAATATCTTTTATCTTTATCTGTCCTTCACCTTCATCTTTATTGCCACTATTGTGATCAAAGCCAGAATCTTCCTCTTTGACTCATTGGTCTCCCTGCTTCTAGCCTTGCCCTTTATAATGCATTCTTCCCATTAATTGTAGCCCGAGTCATCTTTTTAACCATGTAAACAAGAACATGATGTTACTTGCATTCTTAACATTTCTTACTTCCCTTCATACTCTTACCATGCCTACCAGAATCATTGCTTCTCAATACTTTCCTCTTCTTTTGATAGAGTTTTGCGTGCATACCCTTGTCATAGCTTCTTGGTGGGAAGCTTGGTGTACTTCCCCACCCCTTGACTTTGAAACTAGCCATGTAAATCCTTTGACCAATGGGATGTTAGCAGATATTTTGTAAGTAGAGGCTTGAAATATTTTTGCACAATTTGGCATGCCTCTCTCTTCCTATGAGATGCTATGTCTTAATAGCTCCCAATCCAAGGAAAATATGGGCAGAGACTTGTGAAGCAGATTTGAACTCAACCTGAAGCCTGGAGCCAAGCCCCGCCAACCCACACACCTGCAAATAGAGCAGCCCCATGGCTGTTCAACCTGTGCAGTCATACATGGCTCCTTGCTCAGAAGGGCCCTATGCTTGATTTTATGGCTGTCCTATTATTATTTTTAAATTCATAATATTTTTTTATCAAGGGCCTCCATATTTTCATGTTGTACTGGACAACAAATTATGTAGGTGGTAATCAAGAACAATAAATGTTTGTTGTTACAAGCTACTGAGTTTTACATGGTTTTGCTTATATTCTTTCTTCATAGTATCTATCAACTTTTGAAATTACTTAGTTCACTTGGTTGCTTGTTTACCACTGCCTCCTCCAAATGGAACATAAATTCCATAACAGCGAGCCCCTAGTTTGTCTTGTGTGTCTTAGTATACCCAGGACCTGATGCACCAGGGGCTTTCAAAACTACTTGTTGAATAAACAGGTGGAGAGCTTCCATGGCTTCTAGAATCAGACTGTCAGAGTTCTATGGATGAAAGTGTTGGTTCCACCCAAAGGAAGAAGTTTTATGAAGCAACGCTCAAGATTGTTCATATCCCTCACTCAGTCTTTCCTAACTTTTCTTTATTCAGAATTCCCAGTGAAATCAACAACCCTTATAAAATGTAGTCGGAGGAAAGAAAGAAGAGCTTTTTTTCTCAGGCCACTCTGAGAATAAGTTCATTTGTTCAAGGTGGGGGTGGGGCAGAGACTATTCACTGTCCCCCTGGATTCATTCTTTCTATTAATTTTAATAACAATGCCCAGAGTTTTATCTCAGCTTGCCTCTTTCACAGCTAGTTGTGCCATGTGAATCACTGCAGCCAATGAGATATGAGAAGAGAAAATTGTACAACAACATCCACTTTACAGACTTGCTGTAAGCATGCAAAGAGCTGGCATTGCACAGAAAGTGTTCAGAGCAGTGTCTGACTCAGAGTGAGCACTTAATAAATGTTGGCCACTGTCATCATTACTGTGGGAACTTTCAGTTTTGCACTCACTGCAGAAGGATTGATCGTGAATCTTCCACTGTTCTTATAACCATGTGGTATCATGAGGTTTTTGTTGATTCAGGGGTTGTTTGTTTATTAGTGTCTAGCAGAGTTTGTTATGTTTGAGAATATATTGCAATGGACCAAGACACTCATCAAGTGCCTCTCCTGTCATATTCCACTGCCCATGAGCAAAGGTATCCCAGGGGTCTTGGAAAACCCATTCCAGCTCAGTCAGATCTGATGATCGTGCTCTGTGCTCACTATGAGGCTTTCCCCAGCACAGGCATGTCCAAGGGCATTTACAGGCTCAATAGAAGTGCCAGAAGTGTGTGTGCTTTTTAGCAATAACTAGTTCCCATTTACATTTCCAAAGCACTGTGCTAGAAAACTAGGGCCAGTTATGAAAGAGAAAGAGGACTTCCGGCCAAGATGGAGGTGTAGGTCGACATACTGGGCCTCCTCACACAACCAAAAGAAGGACAGCAATAAATTAAAAAAACAAAAAACAACCAGAACTCACAGAAAATCGAACTATATGGAAGTCTAACAACCAAGGAGTTAAAGGAGAAACATTCATTCAGACCTGTAGGAGGGGTGGAGATGGGCAGCCAGGTAGAGAGGACTTGCAGCAAGGCAGCGCAGCTGGAGGACTGGGTGAGGCAGTGGGTTGCAGACTGGGCAGTCCCACATCATGTGCAGATAAATTGGGAGGAACAACTGGGGAGCAAGACAGACTGCATAACCCAGGGTTCCACCACCAGGAAATAAAGCTTCAAAGTCTCTGACTGAAAACACCTGTGGGGGTTGAGGCGGCAGGAAAGACACCTAACCTCACAGGAGAGTCCATCGGAGAGACCCACAGGGTCCTAGAATGTACACAAACCCACCCACCTGGGAATTAGCACCAGAAGGGCCCAATTTGC